AGTTAATGATATATGTTTCCATACGTCAGTGTGTGGTTTGGTGATTTGTGTAAGAGTTAAGGATATATGCTATGTACCTTACGCCAGTGTACATCTGATTTATTGATTTGTGTTAGAATTAAGGATATATGCTACCTAACGTCAGTGTGTGGTTTGGTGATTTGTGTTAGAGTTAAGGATATATGCTACCTTACGCCAGTGTGTGGTTTGGTGATTTGTGTTAGAATTAAGGATATATGCTACCTAACGTCAGTGTGTGGTTTGGTGATTTGTGTTAGAGTTAAGGATATATGCTACCTTACGCCAGTGTACATCTGATTTATTGATTTGTGTTAGAATTAAGGATATAAGTTTCCTTACGCCAGTGTGTGATTTGGTGATTTGTGTTAGAATTAAGGATATTTGCTACCTAACGTCAGTGTGTGATTTGGTGATTTGTGTTAGAGTAACGGATATATGCTAACTAACGCCCGTGTGTGATTTGGTGATTTGTGTTAGAGTTAAGGATATATGCTTCCTAACGCCAGTGTGTGATTGGGTGATTTGTGTTAGAGTTAAGGATATATGCTACCTTACGCCAGTGTGTGATTTGTTGATTTGTGTTAGAGTTAAGGATATATGCTTCCTAACGCCAGTGTGTGATTTGGTGATTTGTGTTAGAATAAAGGATATATGCTACTTAACGTCAGTGTGTGATTTGGTGATTTGCGTTAGAATTAATAATATATGCTACCTTACGTCAGTGTACATGCGATTTGGTGATTTGTGTTAGAATAACGGATATATGCTACCTAACGCCAGTGTGTGATTTGGTGATTTGTGTTAGAATAACGGATATATGCTTCCTTTCGCCAGTGTGTGATTTGGTGATTTGTGTTAGAGTTAAGGATATTTGCTACCTTACGCCAGTGTGTGTTTTGGTGATTTGTGTTAGAATTAAGGATATATGTTTCCTTACGCCAATGTGTGATTTGTTGATTTGTGTTTCAATTAAGGATATATGATACCTTACGCCATTGTGTGTTTTGGTGATTTGTGTTTCAATTAAGGATATATATGCTTCCTAACGCCAGTGTGTAATTTGGTGATTTGTGTTAAAAATTAAGGATATATGCTACCTAACGTCAGTGTGTGATTTGGTGATTTGTGTTAAAATTAAGGATATATGCTTCTTAACGTCAGTGTGTGATTTGGTGATTTGTGTTAGAATTCAGGATATTTATGTTTTCTTACGCCAGTGTGTGATTTGGTGATTTGTGTTCGAGCTAAGGATATATGCTACCTTACGTCAGTGTACATGTGCTTTGGTGATTTGTGTTAGAATTAAGGATATATGTTTCCTTACGCCAGTGTGTGATTTGGTGATTTGTGTTAGAATAAAGGATATAAGCTACTTAACGTCAGTGTGTGATTTGGTGATTTGCGTTAGAATTAATAATATATGCTACCTTACGTCAGTGTACATGCGATTTGGTGATTTGTGTTAGAATAACGGATATATGCTTCCTTTCGCCAGTGTGTGATTTGGTGATTTGTGTTAGAGTTAAGGATATTTGCTACCTTACGTCAGTGTGTGATTTGGTGATTTGCGTTAGAATTAATAATATATGCTACCTTACGTCAGTGAACAGGGGATTTGGTGATTTGTGTTAGAATTAAGGATAGATGTTTCCTTACGCCATTGTGTGTTTTGGTGATCAGTGTACATCTGATTTATTGATTTGTGTTAGAATTAAGGATATAAGTTTCCTTACGCCAGTGTGTGATTTATTGATTTGTGTTAGAATTGAGGATATATGCTACCTAACGTCAGTGTGTGTTTTGGGGATTTGTGTTAGAATTAAGGATATATCCTACCTAACGTCAGTGTGTGTTTTGGTGATTTGCGTTAGAATTAATAATATATGCTACCTTACGTCAGTGTACATGCGATTTGGTGATTTGTGTTAGAATAAAGGATATAAGCTACTTAACGTCAGTGTGGTGATTTGTGTTAGAGTTAAGGATATTTGCTACCTTACGTCAGTGTGTGATTTGGTGATTTGTGTTAGTGTTAGAGTTAAGGATATTTGCTACCTTACGTCAGTGTGTGTTTTGGTGATTTGTGTTAGAATTCAGGATATTTATGTTTTATTGATTTGTGCTAGAATTAAGGATATATGCTACCTAACGTCAGTTTGTGTTTTGGTGATTTGTGTTAGAATTCAGGATATTTATGTTTTCTTACGCCAGTGTGTGATTTGGTGATTTGTGTTAGTGTTAGAGTTAAGGATATTTGCTACCTTACGTCAGTGTGTGTTTTGGTGATTTGTGTTAGAATTAAGGATATATGTTTCCTTACACCAGTGTGTGATTTGATGATTTGTGTTAGAATTAAGGATATATGCTACCTAACGTCAGTGTGTGTTTTGGTGATTTGTGTTAGAATTAAGGATATATGCTTCCTAACGCCAGTGTGTAATTTGGTGATTTGTGTTAAAAATTAAGAATATATGCTACCTAACGTCAGTGTGTGATTTGGTGATTTGTGTTAAAATTAAGGATATATGCTTCTTAACGTCAGTGTGTGATTTGGTGATTTGTGTTAGAATTCAGGATATTTATGTTTTCTTACGCCAGTGTGTGATTTGGTGATTTGTGTTAGAATTAAGGATATATATTTCCTTACGCCAGTGTGTGATTTGGTGATTTGTGTTAGAATTAAGGATATATATGTTTCCTTACGCCAGTGTGTGATTTGGTGATTTGTGTTAGAGCTAAGGATATTATGCTACCTTACGTCAGTGTACATGTGCTTTGGTGATTTGTGTTAGAATTAAGGATATATGTTTCCTTACGCCAGTGTGTGATTTGGTGATTTGTGTTAAAATTAAGGATATATGTTTCCTTACGTCAGTGTGTGATTTGGTGATTTGTGTTTCAATTAAGGATATATGCTGCTTCACACATCGGACTGAGTACATGCATGCGTCTGAATCGGAGTTAAGGATGTATATATATGCTACCTTACGCCAGTGTGTGATTTGGTGATTTGTATTAGAATTAAGGATATATGTTTCCTTACGCCAGTGAGTGATTTGGTGATTTGTGTTAGAGTTAAGGATATATGCTACCTAACGCCAGCGTACATGTGCTTTGGTGATTTGTGTTTCAATTAAGGCTTACGCCAGTGAGTGATTTGGTGATTTGTGTTAGAGTTAAGGATATATGCTACCGAACGCCAGTGTACATGTGCTTTGGTGATTTGTGTTAGTATTAAGGATATATGCTACTTAACGCCAGTGAGTGATTTGCTGATTTGTGTTAGAGTTAAGGATATCGATTTGTTTTTCAATTAAGGATATATGCTGCTTTGCAATTCGGACTGGGTATATGCATGCATCTGAATCGGAGTTAAGGATATATATTCTACCTTACGCCAGTGTGTGATTTGATGTTTGTGTTGTAGTTAAAGATATATATGTTTCCTTACGCCAGTGTGTGATTTGAGGATTTGTGTTAGAGTTAAGGATATATATATATATGCTAGCTTACACCAGTGTACATTGGATTTGGTTATTTGTGTTAGAGTTAATTTATTAACTACTTAACGCCAGTGTGTGATTTGGTGATTTGTGTTAGAGTTAAGGATTTATGCTACCTAACGCCAGTGTACATGTGCTTTGGTGATTTGTCTTAGTATTAAGGATATATGCTACTTAACGCCAGTCTGTGATTTGCTGATTTGTGTTAGAGTTAAGGATATTGATTTGTTTTTCAATTAAGGATATATGCTGCTTTGCAATTCGGACTGGGTATATGCATGCATCTGAATCGGAGTTAAGGATATATATTCTACCTTACGCCAGTGTGTGATTTGATGTTTGTGTTGTAGTTAAAGATATATATGTTTCCTTACGCCAGTGTGTGATTTGAGGATTTGTGTTAGAGTTAAGGATATATATATATATGCTAGCTTACACCAGTGTACATTGGATTTGGTTATTTGTGTTAGAGTTAATTTATAAACTACTTAACGCCAGTGTGTGATTTGGTGATTTGTGTTAGAGTTACGGATATATGCTACCTAACGCCAGTGTACATGTGCTTTGGTGATTTGTGTTAGAATTAAGGATATATGTTTCCTTACGCCAGTGAGTGATTTGGTGATTTGTGTTAGAGTTAAGGATATATGCTACCTAACGCCAGTGTACATGTGCTTTGGTGATTTGTGTTTCAATTAAGGATATATCCTGCTTTACACATCGGACTGGGTATATGCATGCGTCTGAATGGGAGTTAAGGATATGTACTATTGTACCTTACACTTTGTGACTGTGATTTGTTAGAGTCATGGATATACGCTACCTTCAATATTAGACTGGAGGCCGGGTTTCCGAAATTGCGGATAAAACTTTACATATAACTCACGTAGACCGGTTTTCTGATAAATATCGATTTCTACATGTACAAAAATGTATATATACATGTAATCATTAGTGAATTCCCCTACAATTTACTGCTCATGAACTGCTTGTTTGGTGAACGGTTTATTATGTTTGGTAATCTTTGAACATAAAAAATAGTTTGTATTAATCAGCACTACCCTTCTCCTTTGCCGAGCTATACGATACGAAACCTACAGTTAAATTTGGTAAAAAAAACCGCATTCAAACTATCTAATTGGAACACTTTGGGATTTATAATTATTCTTTGTTGAAACATGTGGAAAAAAAAGTTATGGTATTACCATTGAAAGGGATATTAACTTTGGTAACATCACTTTATTAATTGCACGACAAACTATGTTTCGCAGGTTTGTCTATAGGGAACTCTCTAACAGGAGTACACAGGAGACCTTTTAGTGTCACCGTGACCCGTAGTGAGGTAAACACAGCTCACCACAGCCATACACGTGTGTGTGTATATGTCGCCAGATATTGTTGGGCACATGAACAATTATATATCTCATCTATCTCATAAAGTACCCGTAATGCTACAGATGCGTTCTCCCTCCTCAGGATCTAAACACGGGCATAGGACAGCGAAATTTCATCATCCTGCCCACCGGGGGGCTCACAGACCGGCCCTAAAACACTCGTCCCGGCCCCCGCACAGCCGCGCCAGACTAATTTCCTTCCCCTTCTCGCGAAAGATGATCTGTATGGTGAGGACCGTTTGCCTCAGGGATGGAGACGATGGCTTCATATACGACAGTAAGTATCTCTGTGTATAAAGATAAATGATGTCTAATACATATTCTGTGTAATACATCTTCTGTGTGATACATCTTCTGTGTGATACATCTTTTTTGTAATACATCTTCTGTGTGATACACCTTCTCTGTAATACATCTTCTGTGTAATACATCTTCTGTGTGATACATCTTCTATGAAATACATCTTCTGTGTAATACACCGTCCGTGTGATACATCTACTGTGTAATACATCTTCTGTGTAATACATCTTATGTGTAATACATCTTATGTGTAAGAATCTTCTGTGTAATACATCTTCTGTGAAATACATCTTCTGTGTAATACATCTTCTGTGTGATACATCTTCTATGAAATACATCTTCTGTGTAATATACCGTCCGTGTGATACATCTACTGTGTAATACATCTTCTGTGTAATACATCTGATGTGTAATAATCTTCTGTGTAATACATCTTATGTGAAATACATTTTATGTGTGATACATCTTCTGTGTGATACATCTTCTGTTTAACACATCTTATGTGTGATACATCTTCTGTGTAATACATCTTCTGTGTAATGCATCTTCTGTGTGATACATCTTCTGTGTGATACATCTTCTGTGTGATACACCTTCTGTGTGATGCACCTCCTGTGTGATACATCTTCTGTGTTATACACCGTCCGTGTGATACATCTTCTGTGTGATACAACTTCTGTGTGATACATCTTCTGTGTAATACATCCTCTGTGTGATACACCGTCCGTGTGATACATCTTCTGTGTGATACAACTTCTGTGTGATACATCTTCTGTGTAATGCAACTTCTGTGTGATACATCTTCTGTTTGATACACCTTCTGTGTGATACACCTCCTGTGTGATACATCTTCTGTGTGATACACCGTCCGTGTGATACATCTTCTGTGTGATATAACTTCTGTGGGATACATCTTCTGTGTGATACATCTTCTGTGTGATACACCGTCCGTGTGATACATCTTCTGTGAGATATAACTTCTGTGGGATACATCTTCTGTGTGATACATCTTCTGTGTGATACACCTTCCGTGTGATACATCCTCTGTGTGATACAACTTCTGTGTGATACATCTTCTGTGTAATACAACTTCTGTGTGATACACCTCCTGTGTGATACATCTTCTGGGTGATACACCGTCCGTGTGATACATCTTCTGTGTAATACATCTTCTGTTTGATACACCTTCTGTGTGATACACCTCCTGTGTGATACATATTCTGTGTGATACACCGTCCGTGTGATACATCTTATGTGTGATATAACTTCTGTGGGATACATCTTCTGTGTGATACATCTTCTGTGTGATACACCTTCCGTGTGATACATCCTCTGTGTGATACAACTTCTGTGTGATACATCTTCTGTGTAATACATCCTCTGTGTAATGCATCTTCTGTGTGATACACCTCCTGTGTGATACCTCTTCTGTGTGATACACTGTCCGTGTGATACACCGTCCGTGTGATACATCTTCTGTGTGATACAACTTCTGTGTAATACATCTTCTGTGTGATACACCTCCTGTGTGATACATCTTCTGTGTAATACATCTTCTGTGTGATACAACTTCTGTGTGATACACCTCCTGTGTGATACATCTTCTGTGTGATACACCGTCCGTGTGATACACCGTCCGTGTGATACACCGTCCGTGTGATACACCTCCTGTGTGATACATCTTCTGTGTAATACATCTTCTGTGTGATACAACTTCTGTGTGATACACCTCCTGTGTGATACATCTTCTGTGTGATACACCGTCCGTCTGATACACCGTCCGTGTGATACACCTCCTGTGTGATACATCTTCTGTGTGATACATCTTCTGCGTGATACAACTTCTGTGTGATACATCTTATGTGTAATACATCTCCTGTGTAATACATCTTCTAGTCAATACATCTTCTGTGTAATACATCTTCTAGTCCATACATCTCCTGTGTAATACATCTTCTAGTCAATACATCTTCTGTGTAATACCTCTTCTAGTCAATACATCTTCAGTGTAATACCATTTTTCTGTAATACATCTTCTGTGTAATACATCTTCTGTAAGATACATCTTTCGTATGATACATCTTCTGTGTATTACCTCTTCTGTGTAATACATCTTCTGTTTAATACATCTTCTGTGTAATACCTCTTCTGTGTAATACATCTTCTGTGTAATACCTCTTTTGTGTAATACATCTTCTGTGTGATACATCTTCTGTGTGATACCTCTTCTGTGTAATACAACTACTGTGTAATAAATCCCCTGTGTGATACATCTTCCTTGTAATACATCTTTTGTGTAATACATCTTCTGTGTAATACGTCTTCTGTGAAATACATCTTATGTGTATTACATCTTCTGCGTGATTTATCTTCAGTGTAACACATCTTCTGTGTAATACATCTTTTGTGTAATACATCTTCTATGTAATACATCATCTGCGTGATACCTCTTCTGTGTAATACAACTACTGTGTAATAAATCCCCAGTGTGATACATCTTCCTTGTAATACATCTTTTGTGTAATACATCTTCTGTGTAATACGTCTTCTGTGAAATACATCTTATGTGTATTACATCTTCTGCGTGATTTATCTTCAGTGTAACACATCTTCTGTGTAATACATCTTTTGTGTAATACATCTTCTATGTAATACATCATCTGCGTGATACCTCTTCTGTGTAATACAACTACTGTGTAATAAATCCCCTGTGTGATACATCTTCCTTGTAATACATCTTTTGTGTAATACATCTTCTGTGTAATACGTCTTCTGTGTGATACATCTTCTGTGTATTACATCTTCTGTGTGATACATCTTCTGTGTATTACATCTTCTGTGTGATACATCTTCTGTGTAATACATCTTCTGTGTGATACATCTTCTGTGTAATACATCTTCTGTTTGTTACATCTTCTGTGTGATACATCTTCTGTGTAACATATCCTCAGTGTGAAAAATCTTCAGTTTAATACATCTCCTGTGTAATACATCTTCTAGTCAATACATCTTCTGTGTAATACCTCTTTTCTGTAATACATCTTCTATGTAATACATCTTCTGTGTAATACATATTCTGTGTAATACATCTTCAGTGTAATATATCGTCTGTATAATACATCTTTTGTGTAATACATCTTCTATGTAATACATCTTCTGTGCAATACATATTCTGTGTAATACATCTTCAGTGTAATATATCGTCTGTATAATACATCTTTTGTTTAATACATCTTCAGTGTAATATATCGTCTGTATAATACATCTTCTGTGTAATACATCTTCTGCGTGTTACATCTTCTATGTAATACATCTTGTGTGTGATACATATTCTGTGTAATACATCTTCAGTGTAATATATCGTCTGTATAATACATCTTTTCTGTAATACATCTTCTATGTTATACATCTTCTGTGTAATACATATTCTGTGTAATACATCTTCAGTGTAATATATCGTCTGTATAATACATCTTTTGTTTAATACATCTTCTATGTAAAACATCTTCTGTGTAATAAATCCCCTGTGTGATACATGTTCCTTATAATACATCTTTTGTGTAATACATCTTCTGTGTAATACATCTCCTGTGTAATACATCTTCTAGTCAATAAATCTTCTTTGTAATACCTCTTTTCTGTAATACATCTTCTGTGTAATACATCTTATGTGTAATATATCCTCTGTGTGATACATCTTCTGTGTAATACATCTTCTATGTAATACATCTTCTGTGTGATACATATTCTGTGTAATACATCTTCAGTGTAATACATCTCCTGTGTAATACATCTTCTAGTCAATACATCTTCTGTGTAATACCTCTTTTCTGTAATACATCTTCCGTGTAATACATCTTCTTTAAGATACATCTTTCGTGTGATACATCTTCTGTGTAATACCTCTTCTGTGTAACACATCTCTAGTCAATACATCTTCTGTGTAATACCTCTTTTCTGTAATACATGTTCTGTGTAATACATCTCCTGTGTAATACATCTCATGTGTAATACATCATCTAGTCAATACATCTTCTGTGTAATACCTCTTTTCTGTAATACATCTTCTGTGTAATACATCTTCTGTAAGATACATCTTTCGGTTGATACATCTTCTGTGTAATACATCTACTATGTAATACATCTTCTGTGTGATACATATTCTGTGTAATACATCTTCTGTGTAATACATCTCCTGTGTAATACATCTTCTAGTCAATACATCTTCTGTGTAATACATCTTCTAGTCCATACATCTCCTGTGTAATACATCTTCTAGTCAATACATCTTCGGTGTAATACCTCTTCTATTCAATACATCTTCAGTGTAATACCATTTTTCTGTAATACATCTTCTGTGTAATACATCTTCTGTAAGATACATCTTTCGTATGATACATCTTCTGTGTAATACCTCTTCTGTGTAATACATCTTCTGTTTAATACATCTTCTGTGTAATACCTCTTTTGTGTAATACATCTTCTGTGTAATACCTCTTTTGTGTAATACATCTTCTGTGTGATACATCTTCTGTGTGATACATCTACTTTGTAATACATCTGCTGTGTTATACATCTATTTTGTAATACTTTTTCTGTGTGATACATCTTCTGTGTTATACATCTTCTGTGTGATACATCTTTTGTGTAGTACATCTTTTGTTTAATGTGTTATACATCTTCTGTGTAATACATCTTCCGTGTGATACATCTTCTGTGTAATACATCTACTGCGTAATATATCTTTTGTGTAAAACATCTTTTGTGTAATACATCTTCTGTGTAATACATCTTCTGTGTTATACATCTTCTGTGTAATGCGTCTTCTGTGTAATACATCTTCAGTGTAATACATCTTTTGTTTAATACTTCTTCTGTGTAACACATCTTCTGTGATATACATCCTCTGTGTTATACATCTGCTGTGTTATACATCTTCTGTAATATACATTTTCTGTGTGAAACACTTTTTTTCTGATAGTGCGTCTGTGTGAAACAGCGTCTGTGTGATACATCTTCTATTTGATTCTGTGTGATAAGTCTTCTGTTTGCTACATCAATTCAGTCTTTTTGTTTTTTATGGTACATCCTTTTTTCTGATACAAATTTTCTGATTGGTATTCTTTGTGATACAGCTTCTGTGTGTAAAATCTATTGTCTGATACAGCTTCTCCATGACGGTTTTATTGTTCTGTTTAACTGTATTAACTTTTCCCGTTTGATTGAAGGTATTACTTTGTATTATATGTCAATACATGTTCTGTATAACTACTGTTCTCGTTTATGTGATCGGGTTTCTTGCGTGATCAAGCGTTTCGACAACTTCTGTGGTCTTCCTCGAGACTCTCTAGCGATCTCTGGTCATCAGTGGTCGGTACCGTAATTATGTCTAGTAAAAACATTTGGTTGTTTAAAAAACAACTTAAATCTATATTAAATTTCCATCTTAATATTCAATGAAAGAAAGATGATTTCCCAAAAATGTTTCGATATAGTAAACACTCAAGGTAAATTGACAGACCACAGAGATCAGCACCGCAATACCTAGGAAGTTGGGAACTCGCTCAAGTCTTACGTATACATGTACAAACCATTTTACAGTTTTAGTTTATTCTGGTTTCAAATTTCAACCTCATATACCACATAATTATTCTTCATTAAATGCGACACGTTTTAATCATCAAGTAATAATTAAAAACTGATAAATTCATTCTTAATATTTATCGACCTAACCATGCTTACAAACCTGTCATGACACGTGAACGGTAACGTCATGATTCATGTACACGTTAATAGATTTGCAATCAGCTGGGTAACATGCCCCAATAAAATGTTCTTTCATCTTTAGATTTTATTCGCAGTACGTGTTTAAAAGGCGTTGTAAACCAGGTCAATTAAACAGTCTTAAAATGTGGAAACGATTTGCGTATTGCCATTCGTAACAACCAACAAAATGAAATGTACTACATCTATACCTGTATACCAGCGTCAGTGCATCACTTCCATTATTATTCGTCATTCCAAGACAGAAATACTTCCGTTTACGGGATAGTTTTGGGTATTGCGGTAAAAGGTCATACTTGTTACAAGTTTCTAATACCTTGTCTACATTTGTAGTCATACGGCAACGCTGACCAGCCGTCAATATATTATAGTATAATAGTCATACGGTAACGCTGACCTTATGGTTCCTTTGAATAGAGCTACTACAAGTTCCTCTTCTGCCATTCGAGAGAATAGCAGATACGGTTGAACACCATAGTAGTTTATTACTTTGTCCATAAAAGTGTCCCTTAAAATGACCTGCCGTCCATATATTATAGTATAGTAGCCATACGGCAACGTTGACCAGCCTTCCATATATTATAGTATAGTAGTCATACGGCAAAGCTGACCAGCCTTCCGTATATTATAGTATAGTAGTCATACGGCAACGCTGGCCAGCCTTCCATATATTATAGTATAGTAGTCATACGGCAACGTTGACCAGCCTTCCATATATTATAGCATAGTAGTCATACGGCAACGCTGACCAGCCGTCCATATATTAAAGTATAGTGGTCATACGGCAACGCTTACCAGCCTTCCATATATTATAGTATAGTAGTCACACGGCAACGCTGACCAGCCTTCCATACATTATAGTATAGTAGTCATACGGCAATGCTGACCAGCCTTCCGTATATTATAGTATAGTAGTCATACGGCAACGCTGACCAATCTTCCATATATTATAGTATAGTAGTCATACGGCAACGGTGACCAGCCTTCCATATATTATAGTATAGTAGTCATACGGCAACGCTGACCAGCCTTCCATATATTATAATATAGTAGCTATATATAGTCATACGGCAACGCTGACCAGCCTTCCATATATTATAGTATAATAGTCATACGGCAACGCTGATCAGCCGTCCATGTATTAAAGTATAGTAGTCATACGGCAACGCTGACCAGCCTTCCATATATTATAGTATAGTAGTCATACGGCAACGCTGACCAATCTTCCATATATTATAGTATAGTAATCATACGGCAACGGTGACCAGCCTTCCATATATTATAGTATAGTAATTATACGGCAACGCTGACCAGCCGTCCATATATTATAGTATAGTAGTCATACGGCAACGCTGACCAATCTTCCATATATTATAGTATAGTAATCATACGGCAACGCTGACCAGCCTTCCATATATTATAGTATAATAGTCATACGGCAACGCTGACCAGCCTTCCATACATTATTGTATAGTAGTCAAACGGCAACGCTGATCAGCCTTCCATACATTATAGTATAGAAGTCATACGGCAACGCTGACCAGCCTTCCATATATTATAGTATAGTAATTATACGGCAACGCTGACCAGCCGTCCATATATTATAGTATAGTAGTCATACGGCAACGCTGACCAGCCTTCCATATATTAGAGTATAGTAGTCATACGGCAGCGCTGACCAGCCTTCCATACATTATAGTATAGTAATCATACGGCAACGCTGACCAGCCTTCCATATATTATAGTATAAGTAGGCATACGGCAACGCTGACCAGCCTTCCATATATTATAGTATAGTAGTCATACGGCAGCGCTGACTAGCCTTCCATTTGTTATAATATAGTAGTCATACGGCAACGCTGACCAGCCTTCCATATATTATAGAATAGTAGTCATACGGCAACGCTGACCAGCCGTCCATATATTATAGTATAGTAGTCATACGGCAACGCTGACCAACCTTCCATATATTATAGTATAGTAGCCATACGGCAGCGCTGACCAGCCTTCCATAGATTATAGTATAGTAGTCATACGGCAACGCTGACCAGCCTTCCATATATTATAGTATAGTAGTCATACGGCAACGCTGACCAGCCGTCCATATATTATAGTATAGTAGTCATACGGCAACGCTGACCAGCCGTTCATATATTATAGTATAGTAGTTATACGGCAACGCTTACTAGCCTTTCATACATTATAGTATAGTAGTCATACGGCAACGCTGACTAGCCTTCCATATATTATAGTATAGTAGTCATACAGCAACGCTGACCAGCCGTCCCTATGTTATAGTATAGTAGTCATACGGCAACGCTGACCAGCCGTCCATATGTTATAGTATAGTAGTCATACGGCAACGGTGACCAGCCTTCCATATATTATAGTATAGTAGTCATACGGCAACGCTGACCAGCCTTCCATATATTATAGTATAGTAGTCACATATTTTAACATGAAAACCAAATGTTATATTACCGCAATTTTATATTATAACATTTATTTTATATTATAACTTTTGCATATCGTAAACATTACGCATATTGCGTCAAAATGGAACAGTTCAAGTCACTTCTAACATGAGGTAGTGAATATGATTGTTGGCTGAATTTTGTTCACATTCTCAAAAAAAAATCAAAAACAAAAATCAAAAACAAAATCCAATAAAAATAAATAAATGAAATTATGATTACATTATATGAATTTTGTCTCGGTGTCATCAATGACACGAAACCGACTGAATGGTTTAGTACCGTAAGGAGTCGTAGATCAATTTGACCCATTGATGTATCTTTGCGTACAAGGTTGCCATTTCCGTTCCCATAGCTAAACCACATATACTTGTATTTGTGAAGATGAAAATATCAAAAAGGAATAATACACTTCCTCAGTACTTCTGCTCCTTATGAGAAAAATATTATTCTTGAAAACGGTAAAAAAAACCCAGAAAGAACCCTGAATCATTGTTCTTTGTTTCACGCCCTTATTTCCACACGTTCAAAACAGGAGCCACGGAATGGGGTAAGGACTTCCCAGCAGCGAATGGCACGCGCCAGTCCCCCATCGACTTCATGTCAGGAGGAGCTCAGTACGACACAGCCCTTGCCAAATCTCCACTGACCCTTAACTACTGTACTTCACGAGAGACAGACATCCTTAACAACGGTCAGAACCTGATCATGTACCCAAAGAGTAAGGGAGGTAAGCTCACAGAGGTCATTAATGGTATCTACTCGATATCTAAGTTTGACGTAGGGTTGAAGAGGTCAAGGCAGGAGTATCAAATCAATGTAATGAAAAGTAAATAAGGAAGGTGCGGTAATATTGTCAACATGTCGTCATCTTTATTATATATAAATGAGGCAATGTCGTATTGCCGAATTAACCGAAATATATATCCACAATAAAGAGGAAGCTGAAACGTAAAGGAGGTGGAATTTCTTATTGACATGTAGATAAGGTAAGGTCATAGCAAAAACCCGTTATGACATTCCCCACATGTCAACAATATAAAGTTACATTCATCACATCAGTTTTTACTCCATATGTAAATGACGTAAGATCATAAGGAATCTACATAAACTCAAACCACGCAAGAATATTATAGGATAAATCAAAAACGCAACCACGTGACGAACAGCCAGACTGAAACCAACTCGTTAATTCCACTTCGATACATTACAACGCGTATAGCTTAGTACCTGTAGGTAAGGATATCTTACTAAAACAACTCCTAAAATCACCTATATGTCTATTTATAAAACAATATAACCGATTCCAACTCTTAAAGTCCACTTCTGTACTCTACATGATCAAATCGACAAGCGCTGTATGGTCTTGTGACACTTAAGGCAATACCGGATATTTTGTTTTTAACACCCAGAATTTTAACCCCATGACAATGATTGGTTAGAGTAACGGTCATTTAAGCATTGAACTGTTTTTGTATGGTATTTATGATCTATTTGAATGACACAGCTATGCAAGCAAACAACGCAATGCGCGCTAAAACAGTTCAATACTTATATTTACGTTTCCTCTGCCTCTTATGTTCTTTTTTAACTTACAATTTATATTTAAATATTAAAATTCTCACCTTATCGACAGTCCACACAAATTCGTTCAATAGTTGGAACAGCGTATTGTCGCGTGCTGATTGGCCAACTAAGTAGTACTTTGAAATTTTAACAAACACTTCAATCAATTGCGTATGATATGTCTATAGGGTGATTTAAGTTTATCAATAGAACTCTGAGCTTAAAGTTTGATTTGAAATTGTTTCGATTTTTCCCCGGAACAAATTTCGCGCATGGATAAATACAGTGAACACCGTAAATGCGACCTTGCCCTCCACGAGGGGTTATTTTTGGAAGTTAATTCGAACTTTTCTCTTTGCTCATTTTGTGAAGAATCCAGACGTGAATGTATTTGATGATTGTATGGGAATCTGACTACAGTCGGTAGATTCTATAACAGCCTCATTATTTGACATGTCGTCAGAAACAGAGGAAACTGTGGATGCGAGACGCGTGAAACTGATAGCGTTTGAAGTGAGTGATCTTGCGACGGAGCACAGCCTGGGGTTCGTAACAAATGTCTGAAATGTTTATGTGTGTTGTGCCTCATATCAGTAGGTCTGTAACATATGTGTCGGTAGGTCTATAGAATATGTGTATTTCAGACATTTGAAACGAACCCCGGTTGATCAGTGCAGTGTAACAGACTATATTTCTGATGAATTGCATGAGCGATAAAATTGTTTCCATTGCCGGCATTGGTGATTTCAACCGATGTGCATTTTGTACGATATTGCAGACCTTGGTCATTTTTTTGTTGTAATAAAAGGATTTTTTCTTTTCTTTTTTCTTTTGCACATTAATTTACAATGACATTGTCAAGTCTCGCAATGCCGCGCGATATTTCAGCAGCCGTCATGTGTATTTACATTGGAAATTGTAGTTCCGGTCAGTGTTAATACGCTAAGAATTGTGTCTAGTATATGACTCCAAATGCAGCAAATCCCTGTACACAGGGACAAGTAGTAAAGCTATGTGTTTTAAGTAGGTTGATGTGTATCAGAACCTGTAGCAAAACATGGTTTGGTTACCTGTAACTGGAACATGGGGACGCCTTACATGTGGGAATATACAATGTACAATGTATCTGATGTTAACATACGCTGAATAGGTGTAATAGTGGCATCAACATACAATGATTAACACTTTCGTTTCCAGCAGAGACGTCCGTCCGGTTTGACATGGCTCAGCGGTCAAGTAAGTATGTAAATGTATGGCGTTTGTGTTGGTGTATGTGTGATTTAATGTGTTACATTGGTCAGGTTATAGTACAGTTGGTGAACATGTTAATCCATGTGTTTGAAAAAAATATATATATACAATAAAAGACAACAACTAAACGACGGACAAAAACAAAGTTTTGGTATCAAGTCATTTTGTAAAGGAATTTGTTGCTGTTGATAATACATTGTAAAGTAGATGAGAAAGAAGCTGTAAACGGCTGTACCGTGTGTCTACAACAGGTAAAACATGTTATACTGACCAGTATAGGATACACAGGTAAAACATGTTATACTGACCAGTATAGGATACACAGGTAAAACATGTTATACTGACCAGTATAGGATACACAGGTAAAACATGTTATACTGACCAGTATAGGATACACAGGTAAAACATGTTATACTCACCAGTATAGGATACACAGGTAAAGCATGTTATACTCACAAGTATAGGATACACGGGTAAAACATGTTATACTCACCAGTATAGGATACACAGGTAAAACTGGTTATACTGACCAGTATAGGATACACAGGTAAAACATGTTATACTCACCATTATAGGATACACAGGTAAAACATGTTATACTCACCAGTATAGGATACACAGGTAAAACTGGTTATACTGACCAGTATAGGATACACAGGTAAAGCATGTTATACTCACAAGTATAGGATACACAGGTAAAACATGTTATACTCACCAGTATAGGATACAAAGGTAAAACATGTTATACTGACCAGTATAGGATACACAGGAAAAACATGTTATACTCATCAGGATAGGATACACAGGTAAAATATGTTATACTCACCAGTATAGGATACACTGGTAAAGCATGTTATACTCTCCAGTATAGGATACACTGGTAAAGCATGTTATACTCACGAGTATAGGATACACAGGTAAAACATGTTATACTCATCAGTATAGGATACACAGGTAAAACATGTAATACTCATCAGGATAGGATACACAGGTAAAACAGGTTATACTCACCAGTATAGGATACACAGGTAAAACATGTTATACTCACCAGTATATGATACACAGGTAAAGCATGTTATACTCACCAGTATAGGATACACTGGTAAAGCATGTTATACTCACCAGTATAGGATACACAGCTAAAACATGTTATACTCACCAGTATAGGATACACAGATAAAACATGTTATACTCCCCAGTATAGGATGCACAGGTAAAGCATGTTAAACTCACCAGTATAGGATGCACAGATAAAACATGTTATACTCACCAATATAGGATACACAGGTAAATCATGTTATACTGACCAGTATAGGATACACCGGTAAAGCATGTTATACTAACCAGTATAGGATACACAGTTAAAACATGTTATACTCATCAGTATAGGATGCACAGGGAAAACATGTTATACTCAATAGTATAGGATGCACAGGTAAAACATTTATCCTATACTGGTTAGTATAACATGTTTTACCTTTGTATCCTATACTGATGAGTATAACATGTTTTAGCTGTGGATCCTATACTGGTGAGTATAGCATGTTTTACCTGTGTATGCTATACTGGTGCGTATAACATATTTTACCTGTGTATCCTATTCTGGTGAGCATAACATGTTTTACCTGTGAATCCTATACTGGTGAGTTTAACATGCTTTACCTGTATATCCTATACTGGTGAGGATAACATGCGTTACCTGCGTATCCTATACTGGTGAGTATAGGATACACAGGTAAAACATGTTATACTCACCAGTATAGGATAAATGTTTTCGGAGAATTATTTGTTTTCGGAAACATAATATTGACAGTATAATTGTTGCTCAATTTATTTATCCTCATGCTCATGCATGTCCGGTTGACTCTCCTGAAGCTCCAAAATTGATTCTGTGATACATGTTACTTAAATGGTTGCAGCTATTTCCGGTGGACCTCTCCCATTTGGTCACGAGTTCGAACTCGCAGAGATCCGGTTCCACTGGGGGTCCTCTAACAGTAGAGGATCTGAACACCGCGTCAACGGGAAGGCCTTCCCAATGGAGGTACGTCATCAATAACGTCCGGTATTAAATTGTCTCCCTTCTACACAACAGTGAGAAAATTCTTACTGAACACTACATTCCTACAGTGGGTCAGTGACAAACTACGTTACTATTGATATAGTGCAAGTGTCATACAATATTAAAATGCATAGACAGGGGCCCTGTGTCTCTCGAGTTATTTTTTTTGTTGATCGTATCGTCAGCTGTAAGTTGTAAAACCACAATTAGATTTGGACACCATTTTAAATATGCTGATGAAATATTACTCTCAATTTGGCATAACTTTCCAGTCGTTGCAAATATTCTGCATAATACTCGTACTTCTACATGTATACATGTGACAGTGGCGGATCCAGAGACCTATATGGGGGGGGNTTGGGGAAAATGGTGAAAATACATGATTTTTAAAGAAAATTCTCAGGGTGGGGGGGTTTCCTGAAGCCCACAAAACCCCTCTGGATCCGCCACTGTGTGACACAAATAGGCTTGCTTTCTGTATGAATTTACTTGTTACATAATGAATACCAACGCTTATTGTTTGACATTGCAAGTACTTTTAAAATTAAAAATCAAGAAACCCTCGAAAACGTGGATACTCGTTACACTAATGTTTTTCAATATACATTGTAATATTTTTTTGTATACATGGAAGTAAATAGTTTCTACCTCGGCATGTTTCTCATAATGTAGTTATGGAAATCCTAACCAGCTTACCTAACTGCCGAAGTGAACAAGAATACATTCCGTTCCACTTTCAGGTACAATTTATACACTGGAATGCCAGTTTGTATTCTAGCATGGAGGATGCATGTGGCAAACCGGATGGGACAGCTGCCGTGTGCTTGTTTGTCCAGGTAAAGTTTAATACTATAGTTTTATCATTTGCTATGTTTTGACTGTATTAGCACGGGAATGAATATTAGAAATAATCACGTGACTGGTTCGGGTTACGTTAAGGCGTAACATAAAAATTGTTTGTTTGTTTGTCTTCGGTAATTTTAGGCCGTTCCTACATGTGTGTTGTGTATATGTGTATGTGTGCCGGCGCCAGAGTGTGTTGGTGTATTTGCCTCCTTATGATGCCAACTTTATAGTGCTGCCTTACTGAAATGCCATGCCGAAGGCACCCAGTACAGCATTCCGCCCGGTCCCATTATACTGGCAACGGGTGAACAAGTTGTTGCCATTACCTTAAATGTTGAACGTTAAGCAGGGAATATATAACAGCTACCAATTTTAAGGACTTTGGTATATCCCGGCATGGAGACTGTTGCCTTTACGTTCAACATTGAAGCCAAACGTGAGGCATTGCCAAGCAAGGCACTAGGAAAGAAAAGGTAGTTAGCAGTAGATAGAAAGATAAAGATCCCAAATAACGCAATGGGTGCAGCAGTTTTGTTTTGGTCGTTTTTGTGTCCCCTAGGAAGAGGGCACAAAAGGAAATCACCACGTATGCAGAGGCTCCCACGTTAGTCGTCTCGTACGATCAAGCAGTGGGTAAGAGCAGTCTTTTCGCAATCCCCGACCTGCAAGTGTGACATAAAAATAGTAACAGTGGTGTGTAGATGCCACGTACAAACAATCACCTCGTAATTTGTATTACAGATTGGAAGAGAAAACGCCACCGTCAAATCTCTCATCAGTGATTCTCTCTGTGACGTTATATTCAAGGTAAGCTATTTTATTACGATTGCGTTTTATTTTGAACAAAGGTTTCGTACTTATTGACACTTAGAGTGGGTATTTCAGCGATGTATGACCGTACCACTAAATGCATCTACCTGTTCGTGTTACTCACGCGCAGTTTTGAGAAATTCGCTCGAAAATTTGAAAGATTGGCCGTAGGGATATCAGCGTAAGGTTGTATAAGACCATATTATGAAGTGGAAGTCAGAAATAAAAAAAAAACACATTTGGATTTGGATTTTTTTTCTTGATCGTGGGCCCGATCCTGTAACTAGATGTCTTCAGAGAATTTGACAGTACGTTTAATTATATATACTCTGTTTAAGGGAAAACTCCAGATGATAATATATGACGTCATCTCCAAAGTCGATGTCGATTTTGACATGGGCGCAATTTGTCCCCATCAGAATAATAGACGTCTGGTAGAATATCCAGCCAATGACCTTCGAAAGATATTATTAACCTGTAACTCAATTAACCTAAAGTATATATATTTCTTGGCCTCTATTGTGTTTTTCACTTCATATATCTATGTCAGCTTTCGCTTTTTTCTTTAAAAAATAAAGATCTCAAAAAAATAACGAAGGCGTTCCTTCAAATGGGAAGAAGTATGGTAAAGAGTGGAAAAGTAAGATGTTCCGATATAAGAGACAGTTGTGAGAAGAGGACGCTCTAGATTGATCAACAGATCTTTCGAGATGTTCTTAATCCACATTCCATTGATTCCACTTCTGTGGTATACATTGTCACAGTGTGGCTGTTACCCATACTTCTGTGGTATACATTGTCACAGTATGGCTGTAACCCAAACTTCTGTGGTATACATTGTCACAATATGGCTGTAACCCATACTTCTGTAGTATACATTGTCACAGTATGGATGTAACCCATACTTCTGTGGTATACATTGTCACAGTATGGCTGTAACCCATACTTCTGTGGTATACATTGTCACAGTATGGCTGTTACCCATACTTCTGTGGTATACATTGTCACAGTATGGCTGTAACCCATACTTCTGTGGTATACATTGTCACAGTATGGCTGTAACCCATACTTCTGTGGTATACATTGTCACAGTATGGCTGTAACCCATACTTCTGTGGTATACATTGTCACAGTATGGCTGTAACCCATACTTCTGTGGTATACATTGTCACAGTATGGCTGTAACCCATACTTCTGTGGTATACATTGTCACAGTATGGCTGTAACCCATACTTCTGTGGTATACATTGTCACAGTATGGCTGTAACCCATACTTCTGTGGTATACATTGTCACAGTATGGCTGTAACCCATACTTCTGTGGTATACATTGTCACAGTATGGCTGTAACCCATACTTCTGTGGTATACATTGTCACAGTATGGCTGTAACCCATACTTCTGTGGTATACATTGTCACAGTATGGCTGTAACCCATACTTCTGTGGTATACATTGTCACAGTATGGCTGTAACCCATACTTCTGTGGTATACATTGTCACAGTATGGCTGTAACCCATACTTCTGTGGTATACATTGTCACAGTATGGCTGTAACCCATACTTCTGTGGTATACATTGTCACAGTATGGCTGTAACCCATACTTCTGTGGTATACATTGTCACAGTATGGCTGTAACCCATACTTCTGTGGTATACATTGTCACAGTATGGCTGTAACCCATACTTCTGTGGTATACATTGTCACAGTATGGCTGTAACCCATACTTCTGTGGTATACATTGTCACAGTATGGCTGTAACCCATACTTCTGTGGTATACATTGTCACAGTATGGCTGTAACCCATACTTCTGTGGTATACATTGTCACAGTATGGCTGTAACCCATACTTCTGTGGTATACATTGTCACAGTATGGCTGTAACCCATACTTCTGTGGTATACATTGTCACAGTATGGCTGTAACCCATACTTCTGTGGTATACATTGTCACAGTATGGCTGTAACCCATACTTCTGTGGTATACATTGTCACAGTATGGCTGTAACCCATACTTCTGTGGTATACATTGTCACAGTATGGCTGTAACCCATACTTCTGTGGTATACATTGTCACAGTATGGCTGTAACCCATACTTCTGTGGTATACATTGTCACAGTATGGCTGTAACCCATACTTCTGTGGTATACATTGTCACAGTATGGCTGTAACCCATACTTCTGTGGTATACATTGTCACAGTATGGCTGTAACCCATACTTCTGTGGTATACATTGTCACAGTATGGCTGTAACCCATACTTCTGTGGTATACATTGTCACAGTATGGCTGTAACCCATACTTCTGTGGTATACATTGTCACAGTATGGCTGTAACCCATACTTCTGTGGTATACATTGTCACAGTATGGCTGTAACCCATACTTCTGTGGTATACATTGTCACAGTATGGCTGTAACCCATACTTCTGTGGTATACATTGTCACAGTATGGCTGTAACCCATACTTCTGTGGTATACATTGTCACAGTATGGCTGTAACCCATACTTCTGTGGTATACATTGTCACAGTATGGCTGTAACCCATACTTCTGTGGTATACATTGTCACAGTATGGCTGTAACCCATACTTCTGTGGTATACATTGTCACAGTATGGCTGTAACCCATACTTCTGTGGTATACATTGTCACAGTATGGCTGTAACCCATACTTCTGTGGTATACATTGTCACAGTATGGCTGTAACCCATACTTCTGTGGTATACATTGTCACAGTATGGCTGTAACCCATACTTCTGTGGTATACATTGTCACAGTATGGCTGTAACCCATACTTCTGTGGTATACATTGTCACAGTATGGCTGTAACCCATACTTCTGTGGTATACATTGTCACAGTATGGCTGTAACCCATACTTCTGTGGTATACATTGTCACAGTATGGCTGTAACCCATACTTCTGTGGTATACATTGTCACAGTATGGCTGTAACCCATACTTCTGTGGTATACATTGTCACAGTATGGCTGTAACCCATACTTCTGTGGTATACATTGTCACAGTATGGCTGTAACCCATACTTCTGTGGTATACATTGTCACAGTATGGCTGTAACCCATACTTCTGTGGTATACATTGTCACAGTATGGCTGTAACCCATACTTCTGTGGTATACATTGTCACAGTATGGCTGTAACCCATACTTCTGTGGTATACATTGTCACAGTATGGCTGTAACCCATACTTCTGTGGTATACATTGTCACAGTATGGCTGTAACCCATACTTCTGTGGTATACATTGTCACAGTATGGCTGTAACCCATACTTCTGTGGTATACATTGTCACAGTATGGCTGTAACCCATACTTCTGTGGTATACATTGTCACAGTATGGCTGTAACCCATACTTCTGTGGTATACATTGTCACAGTATGGCTGTAACCCATACTTCTGTGGTATACATTGTCACAGTATGGCTGTAACCCATACTTCTGTGGTATACATTGTCACAGTATGGCTGTAACCCATACTTCTGTGGTATACATTGTCACAGTATGGCTGTAACCCATACTTCTGTGGTATACATTGTCACAGTATGGCTGTAACCCATACTTCTGTGGTATACATTGTCACAGTATGGCTGTAACCCATACTTCTGTGGTATACATTGTCACAGTATGGCTGTAACCCATACTTCTGTGGTATACATTGTCACAGTATGGCTGTAACCCATACTTCTGTGGTATACATTGTCACAGTATGGCTGTAACCCATACTTCTGTGGTATACATTGTCACAGTATGGCTGTAACCCATACTTCTGTGGTATACATTGTCACAGTATGGCTGTAACCCATACTTCTGTGGTATACATTGCCACAGTATGGCTGTTACCCATATTTTATTGTACTAAGAATGGTGTACTAAGAAGCACGGACCATGACTAGGCTTAGCAACTTTTTGAAGCAGATTCAGCGATTAAATGTTATTTTTATAAAGTTTCTTGTGAATTCAATACAAACGAGGTAGATTTGTACCTTATCCTTTTTTCGGTATTCGGAAAGAACTTTTCAGAAATTAGGAAATTTAAAACAAAAATAATATTAAGATACTACAGTAGTACTTATTCGAACGGTGTATTATTCGTCAAATCAGTGCAGCAACAAGCATGGTGTTGAAAAGTAAAAAATAAATCAATTTTGTAAATCAACTGAGTGACACTGACAGGTATGATACACGTAATATCAACTGTTGTATTAGTCACGGAATTTCGTTGAAACTTCGTTCAGGAAAACGAAAAAACGAAATCAAAACCCTTCGTAAAACTATTCTCACTTGCACTATGCAAAGAATAATTTGTGGTTAAAACATCATGAAAATCCTCTAGACTCTTAGACTTAACATGTTTTCCTGGCGATCTCACGTGGTAGGCTGCTGCGATATACTACCTATAATCACAGCTGATAGGGTCATAGCCTGGACATCGCCATGGGCTTGGGAAAAGATAAACAATTACATGTACATGTAGAAAAACGTCACTTAACCCTAATAACCTTCCGTACCTGAACATCACATCAGTTATTGATTTGTATTCTGTTGTCATGTACACGTATATATGTTGTCAGATACGTGTAAAATAGATCGATATGTGTTTCTGCATAATGCATCTTCTATTGATATTTCTCAACCAACATTCTTCTGATAAACTGTGTAGATTCAATTTTTTTGAGTATTAATGAATCGTTATTATTTTGTAGGGACGACAAAAAACAACAAACACCCCCTTTAATCCCGTCTGTCTACTTCCGGGTGAGTAGAACTCGAGTCGTGTCAGGGGTCAAGTTTAGGCTTTAATATTACATGTCTCTTGTATTATTCTCTATTCTAATCTTTCGCACCTCAGTCATAAACAAACTACTCGCTTATTTTCCTTTTCGTTCCTATGACCAGGATATTTATTAAGTGTTTTGCTCCATGATGTATACAATGTATTACGTTCACAGTCTTGAAATCTGTTGTCTATAAGTCACTGTAATGGTAGTGCGTTTCCCAATATCAGCTGGACCAATAACTATACACATTGTTGCCTGTCATTATTGTTTCTAGCATCTCTTTGTGACCCGCATACAATTTTCTTTTCAATTTTGCCATATTGTAAACAAGCCTTAATCATTCCTAAGATATTTCGGAACATTGCGTTTTTTTAGGAAAATTTTAAAAGCACCTCTAACGAAAGCTCAGGCAGTTGAAGTAATACCAATTATGAAGTGGGAGAATTTTAACATTTTTGTTGTTGGTTTTGATCCCCTTTCGCAAGAATTATCATTCCCTTCACTTTTATTGTTTATCGTTGTTGGAAATAAATGAGATGTGTTAATTAGAGCGTTGTCTTGAACAGTTTGAAACTGAGTTTCATTTTTATTTTTACTATATTTTGAAACGCTTCAAAATGGCAACTGTCTAAACATTATTTATAGAGACGAGCTGAGTCCAATCAAAATTATGTGATTTCATTATATTCATACAAATACAGTTACAAGTTGTGGGATGTTTGAGTTGTTCAAACTTTTTGAGAGAATATTCCGAGTAATGCTGCTTTAAAATGATATCAAATATATGGAAAAGCTCTCTGCTCAACAATAAAGACTTACGGAGGACAAATCCAAGCAGTGGATGTTTTTATGGGAGGAATGGAAATTAAAATACATACATTTCTTTTACGATGATCACCTTGATAAATTCAATAGGCATGCAACTTCAAATCACAAAAAATGCTCTCAATTGCAATCTACCGTGGTTCTGGATAATTATAGATAAACACACTGTGTTTTCAGGGTTTGTCGTGAGAACTATTTCCTTTTATAAAGTATTCTCATATCATGCCATACCGATAGGTGGTATACTATAGAATATAGATGATGATACGTTTTATCATTACCATTCACAGACCCTGATCTTCGAGACTACTGGTCCTACGAGGGATCGCTCACCTTCCCTCCATGTCACGAGAACACCACGTGGATCATGTTCCGGTACCCACTTCTGGTGTCTCCCGGGCAGGTAAGTATTTACTATCCCGTATAAAGTAACAGGCATGATAATTTTGTTTGTTAATTTCTGTATTATGTCATAAATGTAAAATGTTGTTTTTATGTCATAATATATTTTTTTGACACTTTTTAAAATATCTTTTTTCCCAAGGATGGAAAACATTAATGTACTGAAATCCATTTTTTTAATGATTAAAAAGTCCTTCGCGTACGGGTCACTGTGGTTAACATAAAAGAGCGGTTTGTTAATGTTTATTATAAAATTTGGGTCATGACACTGAAAAGTATGATAGGTTTAGTTTCGTGATGAAAAAGTAACGGAATCTGCTATAATGTAGATCCTTTTTTAATGGGAATGATTTTAAAGTGATAAAGCCATATGTCAATTGTATGAATTCGAAGTCAAATCGATGATATTTTTGTGCTAGCATTCTATGATATTCAGAACTATAATAATAGTTCTTTGGTTTTATTATTATACCATGGCTAAATATTGATCGATGGCCGGTTTTTATCGTATTGTTAACATGTCCGACAAGTCCATTGAAGATAAACTTTGTGAGAGTTGCCTCCCCTTCAACATATTGTAAGAAAGCCATGCATAACACATGTTAACACAGTTGCTGTGGGAACTAAACATTAGAAATTTGATATCTAAGTGTTCGAAATAATACAAACAAGACCTGCTTTTATTTCTATACTTACTCACAAATGAAGTTAGGATATTTGTACCTATCTTCAGATAGAGGAGTTCCGTCGACTTTTGTGCTACAGTAAAGGGGATTCCCCAGTAAAGGGATCGACCGGACATTTGGTGGACAACTTCCGCCCTGTACAGCCCCTAAACGGGAGAGTGGTTAGGGCCTCGTTCCCGGTAGAGATATTGTATACCGTTACGCTTCATGGAAAGGTCCCACGTGATCGTCTTCAACCAGTCAACTTTGAGATACAACACGACTGAATGGACGTCTTCGACAACTCCACATCAGCATTAGAAAGTGTTTTTGGACAAACAAATAAATGGCTGTGATGTAGGTTTAGTAATTGTCCGTTAACTGCAGCCGGAACTAAGTTGTTGGTTGGCTTATCATAACTGTGCATGCCAACATTATCGACGTCATAGAGAGATCGTATACCATTATATCATCAGTGTGCCTGGTCCGTATGGCGTTGCTTATACATATAGTGGTTGTGATGCCTTTTTTGATGGATTTTTATATGCTTTTTCAAAAAAGAATTGATGTCGGCAGGGCCATTTTTGTTACAGATATTTTGAAAGTCATGTCCTTTAGTAAGGGTGCTGAAGCTAGTACGGCCTTTCGATTTGCGATATAATGTTTTTACAGTATTTCTTGGTCGAGTCTCACACCAAAAATGAACGTAGCGGCGTTCACATTGTTGTTTCTTATAAAAAGCATGCACAACGAAAGTATTAGTATATGTAGTGTATTTTACATGTATATATGCAATGTATGTAGTGTATGTGATGTTTGTAGTGACTGTGTTGAATGTAAACGTATTGTATATGTAATTATCCTAAAAAGACGACGTTTTGAATATAAACTTTATATTATTTTACAACAATTATTAAAAACGTGTTATTTCAAATTATATCATTCCCTCTTGTTGGCCCGGATGTTGGCGCACACCGGGAAACAGAGTACCTGGAGAAACCCACGTGTTCGGGCAGATGACTACAAACCTTTTCACGTTCAATTGGGGCCGACTCTTGAAAGGCGTTCGGAGATCGATTCAGTATCGATTCAGTATCAAGTTATAGAAATTGAGATTATCAAACGTGTGTTGTGAATGGCATGCATTGCTTAAATCGTGCATATTTTTTTTCAAAAACATGTATAACATGAGTTACTTTTGTTGTGTGCTATGTTCATATCTTTTATACTTGACATTGACTGGGAAAAAATAGTTTACTTTTAATGCTGTATATACATTTTAGTATTTATGGCGTCGTGGACTACCAACTCAATTTAATTTAAGGCAGTTTTAGAGAATATGTATCATATGGAAGTTATACATGTATAGGTATTATTATCATAAAATTCAAACTCAAGCCTAACTGTGATCTGATAGCTAGTAGTCAACACAGTGATTTAGCTATGTTACACTAATTGTGATCCGTTAGCTGGAAGTCAACACAATGATATAGCTATGTTACACTAGCTGTGATCCGATAGCTGGAAGTTAACACAGTGATATAGCTATGTTACTCTAGCTGTCATGCGATAGCTGGCAGTCAACACAGTGATATGGCTATGTTACACTAACTGTGATCTGATAGCTGGTAGTAAACACAATGATATAGCTATGTTGTATACCAAAACACATGTACTCTTGCTATTTGTAGTGATCCGTTAGCTGGAAGTCAACACAATGATATAGCTATGTTGTATACCAAAACACATGTACTCTTGCTATTTGTAGTGATCCGTTAGCTGGAAGTCAACACAATGATATAGCGATGTTACACTAGCTGTGATCCGATAGCTGGCAGTCAATACAGTGATATAGCTATGTTACACGAACTGTGATCCGATAGCTGGCAGTCAATACAGTGATATAGCTATGTTACACACTCAAGTCTAACTGTGATCCGATAGCTGGCAGTCAACACAGTGATATGGCTATGTTACACTAACTGTGATCTGATAGCTGGTAGTAAACACAATGATATAGCTATGTTGTATACCAAAACACATGTACTCTTGCTATTTGTAGTGATCCGTTAGCTGGAAGTCAACACAATGAAATAGCTATGTTACACTAGCTGTGATTCGATAGCTGGAAGTCAACACAGTGATATACCTATGTTACACTAACTGTGATCCGAGAGCTGGCAGTCAACACAGTGATATAGATATGTTACACTAACTGTGATCCTACAGCTGGCAGGGAACACAGTGATATAGCTATGTTAAACTAATTGTGATCCGATAGCTGGCAGTCAATACAGTGATATAGCTATGTTACACACTCAAGTCTAACTGTGATCCGATAGCTGGTAGTAAACCCAATGATATAGCTATGTTTTATACCAGAACACATGTACTCTTGCTATTTGTAGTGATCCGTTAGCTGGAAGTCAACACAATGATATAGCGATGTTACACTAGCTGTGATCCGATAGCTGGCACTCAACACAGTGATATAGCTATGTTTCACTAGCTGTGATCCGATAGCTGGAAGTCAACGCAGGGATATAGCTATGTTACACTAACTGCGATCCGATAGCTGGTAGTCAACACAGCGGTATAGCTATGTTACATTAACTGTGATCCGATAGCTGGTAGTCAACCCAGTGGTATAGCTATGTTACATTAACTGTCATCCGCTAGCTGGTAGTCAACACAGTGATATGGCTATGTTACACTAATTGTGATCCAATAGCTGGCAGTCAACACAGTGATATGGCTATGTTACACTAATTGTGATCCAATAGCTGGCAGTCAACACAGTGATATGGCTATGTTACACTAATTGTGATCCAATAGCTGGCAGTCAACACAGTGATATAGCTTTGTTACACTAACCGTGATCCGATAGCTGGTAGTCAACCCAGTGATATAGCTATGTTACACTAACTGTGATCCGATAGCTGGTAGTAAACACAATGATATAGCTATGTTTTATACCAAAACACATGTACTCTTGCTATTTGTATAAACATCCTTCTGGATATTATAATAACGTTTCAATACAGCTATTGTTACTCCGTTAATAGACATCATCGATCGTTTATTGCGACCCTTTTTCAAACACACAACAGCAAAACGAAGGGCAACGGAACAGGACATTTCCTTGAACTCGTGAAAATGTTATAAACCTTGTGAAAAAACGATGATTTTTTTAAAAATTCAAACATTTTGAAAAAACCAGTAACAGGATGATGAGGGGACAGCTTGAGTTATTACAACTTACTTGGGGCTACAAAAGAACAGCCTACACCATGATGTCTTTTTCCAGGGCATTGCATTTATCATCCAACACATAAGATACATGTTCGACAGTTTGTCTAATGAAGAACGTGTATTTGTAGTATTTAATGTCTCCTTACTAACTATTACATTTTAAATGTTTAAGGGTGGTTACTTTACCAGAGGCTCTATTACTAATTTAACGAACGGTATCACACCACTTGCAGTTGCTACTGAGTCTTTTTAAAAGACCGGACGTTTTGATCTTACGAAGTGCAGTCCCATGGTAATCCATTTACACAGTTGTTTTGTTCAATCCCCTCCTTGGAACCAGCCCATGTAATTACAGGACATACACCCGTAATGTAACACTCGCACAGGTTACCATAGTGACACGCACGCCCCGTAAATGTAGTTCCCATGTTCCCGTCGTGTTCAATATCCATACAGGATTCAGGTCACCGATTCCAGGTCTAATTTGCATATTGAAATCCTTGCGCCTTTTGAGTTGATCACGCCGACCGCTGTTCTCGTGTGGCGGGAGAGTGATATTGTTAATTGAACGGTTTAGGTTAATATGCCGTGAACAAGCTTCTCGTTTAACTTTAATCAGTTTCACGTGCTAGGCGTAAACTGTAACACTTTGGACAATACTCTATTTAATTAAATCTATACATTTTAAACATCTTTATATGTTTTTGCAATACGACTCCAGTCTAAACCAGGTCAGTCATTAAGCTAGAGTTAACGCCCTTCCTACGTTCTGCAGAACCACATGACTAAACATGCTCTAAAGATTGTCTATGCTATGATGACATGTTCTACACACCGATTGATGTAGTGTATAAAATAATATAACTTAGATCAACAAATACTATGGACGCAAGTATGCACTGAAACATCAATGTAGGTAAAATGATTCTGTGTACGATCGCCCTGACGTCACGTCCGTTACGTATACTCTACACTAATACACAGAACAGTGATTCTGTGTACTATCGCCATGACGTCACGTCCGTTACTTCACACTAATACACAGAACAGTGATTCTGTGTACTATCGATCTGACGTCACGTCCGTTACTTTACATAAATTTGCGCTGTTATGTTGCCGTGCACTATCTGTCTATTATAATGCGTGCGCCTCTGTTCATTACGGCTCACGATGCAGGAAATCAACACTATTTCGCATACTGAGCAAAGGTAAATTAAAATCAGGATGATAAGGGTTGTTCATTGATGTAATGTACAGTATGTCGGTATGTTTGACATCAGTGAGGTGGCCCCTAGATACAGATCGTTTTGGGCGATACACAAAACAACGAATGTCGGTTTGTCAGGCCATAACCGGGGAGCGGTATCACCCGATCGCAGCGCCCCCTGTCCTAGTGTCAGTTTGATGGATCCACCTGTCCGCCTCACTGCCCTTCTATATCTCAGTAATCCATGAATTATAGAAATATGACTTGCGTTTTAGGGGAAAATAGAACAAGCTGTAAATATGACACATCTTAACAACTTTGTTTTCACCATTACATTATACACGATTCCGACAATTACCGACAGTCAGCCGACTTCCGGTCGCGCCTGAAATCACGCGCATTCTCCCTCAGGTGGAACCAGTTGACAATTTACCTAATGGGATGATTAAGGTCTTCTTCTTTGAAGATTCAATCTTTCACAGGTGTAATTGAGCTAATTGAGAAAAGTGCCAATCTATCCTACCGATAAATGTACAAATTAAATGCTGTTTGACCATTATATCCATTTTCTAGTGGCTACAGTATTCACTATAATTGTCGCCTAGTGCCTTAATTTCCTTTCGTGTAAAACAAGATAAAATGGCCTACTCGCTTCTATGTATAGAATCGATACACAAATCAATTACCAGTAAAGCTGGCGTTATTAGATTGTAAACAAGATATTTAATGTTTCAGCACTGTCAAGGTGGATGTCTGACTATGTAAACTGCGAGCAGCAAACCATCTCTGTTAACCGCTTCCTCCGTCCGACAACTTCAGACATCGGACGAGGTCGGATTAATGTATGATACAGACATACAACTCGACCGAACACACATCGTACATATACAAATTACCTCCCGACCGATATAATAACATACATATATACGTCCGGACTAATACAAAACTTACTAATTCACCTCCCGACCTGTATAATAACATACATATAGACTTCCGGACTAATAGAAAACCTACAAGTTTAAATCCCGACCGGAATAAATACACACATATAGACGTCCGGACAAATAGAAAACCTACTAATTTACCTCCCGACCGGTATAACAACATATATATAGATGTCCGGACTAATAAAAAATCTACAAATGTACATACCGAACAGTATAACAACATATACATATAGACGTCCGGACTAATAGAAAACCTACAAATTTACATACCGACCGGCATAACAACATACATATAGACGTCCGGACTAATAGAAAACCTACAAATTTACATACCGACTGGTATAACAACAGACATATAGATGTCCCGACTAATAGAAAATCTACAAATTTACATACCGACCAGTAAAACAACAAACAAATAGACGTCCCGACTAATAGAAAATCTACAAATTTACATACCGACCGGTATAACAACAAACATATAGACGTCCAGACTAATAGAAAACCTACAAATTTACATACCGACTGGTATAACAACAGACATATAGATGTCCGGACTAATAGAAAATCTACAAATTTACATACCGACCGGTAAAACAACATACATATAGACGTCCGGACTAATAGAAAACCTACAAATTTACATACCGAGTGGTATAACAACAGACATATAGATGTCCGGACTAATAGAAAATCTACAAATTTACATGCCGACCGGTAAAACAACAAACAAATAGACGTCCGGACTAATAGAAAATCTGCAAATTTACAT